GAGGGCTAGCTAGCCAATCAGGGTTGCAGGGTTCGATCGCGCGCAGATGGCCCCGCGCAGATGGCCCTGGGCCTGGCGGGTTCTCGTGAGGCGAGGGCTAGCTAGCCAATCAGGTGGCAGGGTTCGCGCACAGATGCCCCCTCCGGGGCCATACGCGCAGCGGTTCATACGGAGAGTCCCCTGTCCCCTGTCCCCTGTCCCAGCCTGAACCTGACTCAGCTGCACCGCTTCTATGAATCGTGAGCAGAAAATCCTTTTATTTGCTACTACTGCATCTACTCAGCTAACAACTGCGTAATCCAACAAAATTCCTTAACTAAATTGTTGCTCTCCATGTTATCCAACAGCTGCTTCTTCCCTAAATATTTAATTAACATCCTATCCAGTCCTGCGTTGTCCACCCCAAGCTCTGCTAATCAGGCCTGCTATTAGGCGTTTGCCTCTGTGTAACTAAATACTATGCCTATTAATCCTGCGCTTAATACCCTAGTGTACTAACAAGTTCTGTCCTCTACTTGTTAATATTGCCCCTCCCTGTTTAGTTCCTAGCTATTGCAAATCTCCTGTGGCATGCCACTGCACAGGAAACAGCCTAAAAATATATAGAACTAAACTTAATTATTAATCCTCTGTACTATCTCCTTTGCTGTTTTACTTTCTGCCCTCTAACACTGCTGTATGTTGTGTCTACTCTGCGCGTCGCCTGCTCCCTCGCATATCTCACATTAATTCGCCCACCACGCCAACTGCCTGCGCACCCACTCCATATTGGCAAACTCTTGCTGTTAATGCTCCGTCAACGTCTGCCACAGCCCCTGACGCGCCTGCTCCTGCTGTTAATATACCCGCTGCATCTCTTCTCGTTCAGCTTTGACGACGTCCATCTCTTCTCCATTGTTGTTCTCTGTCCTGCTCCCTTCCTCTGTTTCTTCCTCTACCACCTCTTCCAACTGCCTGTCTATCCCTCAGCACACGTCGCACATCTCCTTGTTGTCCTCCTCTCTACACCCTGCTTGATCCTTCCTCCCATCCAAATACCTGTCCAACACTTCCCTCCTGCAGCCAACCGCCCTGCTCTTGCCACCTTCCACATACTCCCTCACCATCTACTGCTCAGCTTCTGTCCTGTTGTTGTTGGTGCGTTGTTTCCTATCCTAAACTATTAAAACCGCCTCGCTTTGCAACCTATCCTAGCCTGCCCTGCTGCTCTCTTGTGCGTAATCTAATATAGTGAACAGCTAATTAATGTGAATGATGCACTGTACATCTAGTATGTCCACGCCTATGCCCAACGCGCTCGTTGCTACGATCACGCGCTGCTTGCCTGCCATAAAGTCTGCCAACATGGTCGGCTTGCCCACGGCATCCGCGTGATACGCGTGACAATCTAATTGCTCTGCCAACGCCTTCACCTTTAGCTTTAAGTTGCTGTACACAATAAGCTTATCTGTCCTATACTTCTGTATCTTCTGCTACACTGTCTTAACAACTATTAACTTAATATCCTTCTTCTTTACAGACTAGCTAATCTTAATAGTCTAATACGCCATGTTTGTCCTAGTGGTTAGTTGTCTAAACATCTTAACCTGCTTCTGCTTATAATGCATTTATTAATATAGCTTGTCCTCTTCTGTTAGCAGCAACGTTGCTGTTAACAGCACCATCTGCGTCTTAGCTGCTGCCAGCCTGCTGAGCTGTTGTATCTGCTTGCAGAATGTGTATCAACAGTTCAACACAATGTGACACTTGTCAATCACAATACAGTCTAGCTGCCGCGTTGCTTGCAGCCAGTTCAAAAACGTCGCAAACACTTCTCCCACCACTAATTTGGGCGTTACGAACACGATGGCTGCTGTGTTAGGCAGGCAGTGACTTGCCTATTTGGCACACAATATCCCCAGCTCCTTGCACTGTTGCATCATGTCACCACGCAGCGAAATCAACGGCACGACGACCACCGTCGTCCCGCCTTGCTCTGCCCACGCCAGCAACATGAACAACATGCTCTTGCCTGCGCTGGTTAGCATCACAGCCACAACAGGGCTCTTGCCGGCAACGATTGCCTCGATGGCCTCCTTCTGCACGCCTCTGAACTTAGCTTTCTTGCCCTTCATTCGCTTGATTTGCGCTGCCAGGTCCACCTTCCTCAGCCGCTCCAGCCTCTCTATCCTTGCCTCGTCGGCCTCGCTCTCAAATAGCGCCTTCTTCTGCTTCTTTACGTCTGCCAATGCGTCTACAGCAGACTAAAAACCCAAAAATTAGTGCTAATCTGTGCTTAAGTTGCAGAACAGCTGCCTTCTGTTAGCTGTAACACCTGCTATCTCTATAATGCTGTGTGTGTACACCATACCTGCTACGTGCGACGTGTGTCTAGACTGCTTGTCTTGAATAATAGCTACTATGTTCTCCTCCTTCCACTCCTTATTTTCCTTGCCTTCCTTGGCGGCGAACGCTGTTGAGCCGCGCCAAAATCGCCAGCTAATGCTAATGGCAATCTCACAGTACGCTGCAATTGTTAACTCTTGTTTAAGCCTAATTTAACTCTTGCGCTTCAACATCTCCTGCACACGCTCTAAAGTCTATTTGCGTCTGTTCAGGTTAGTAGGCTACAAGTAGGATAAAATTGCCTCCTTCTCCTACACCATCGCCTCCAATTGCTGCTAGAACAGCAGCACCAACTATACATACCACACCAGCAGCTCACCCACCTTGCGCGGCAAGTACTAATGGATAATCTTGACATTGCTGCTAACAGCGTACCCCTTGTGGTATTGTGTAACAAACACAACTATGCTGTCCTTAATAAATATGTTGTAGTGCCTGCCCTTAATTGTGTTGC